CAGCTGGGGCCATCTCGGGGGCATGAGGAAGCGGAGGAGGAGGATGAGGAGGGCGACGGCGGCGAGGTCGAGGACGAGGCCGAGGATGAGGATGCACACAGGAGAAGACATCGGACCATGAATGCGGCACGAGGGGGGCGAATCGGAGGAGGGAGGAGACAGGAAGAGTGGCAGGAAGAAGCGGGCGACGATAAGGAGTATCACAAGTTAGGCATTGTGGACCTGTTGTGGTGAGGGCTCTTCGAGGACTCGTACTGCCGCCTTGACGCCATCTTGGTGCTTTATCGGTGTCCTATGAGGGCTCGTCGGGGCCGTCGTGGGGCTCTTTTGGGGCGTCCTGGGTGCCTCTTGGGGTTCTTTCTGGCGGCATGAGAGGCCTCTTGGCGCCGTCCTAGACCGCATGGGTTCAAAGCAGAGGTGGGCGTTCCAAGTTTCACATCGCCCCCCCACCCCCCCCCCCCCCCCCCCCCCCCCCCCCACCCACCACCACCACCACCGCCAATTCAACCACCCCCCCCGCCCACCCCCCCCCCGCCAACCCCCCCCCCCCCCCCCCCCCCCCCCCCCCCACCCCCCCCCCCCCCCCCCCCCCCCCCGCGGAAGCTCGAACGAAGCGTCTTGTGTCCCTCTTGGGCCGCTCTTGTGCGCTCCTCGGGCCGCGTCGAGGCCCTCGTGGGCCCATCGCGGTGTTCTCTCGGGTCATCTTGGTGCCATCGGAGCCCCCAAGAGCCGAGTGAACACGAACATGCGAGAAGGCATGCACATAGGATTGCGATAGTTTTCGGGGCCAGTTTGGCATCGTGGGGGCGTCCTTGGAGGGCTCGGTGAGCACTTGACACCGTCTTGGGGCATCTTGGGTGCGCGTCGGCGGCTGTGCCGAGCCATCTTGAGGTATGTTGAGCGATCTAGGGGGGGGGGGCATCTTCGGCTCAATAAGGCCCTCTTGGGGCCACCTTGAGCCGAAAAGGGCTTCCTGACACCTCGCCCCCCCCTTTCCCCCGCCCAGGCGGGCGGGCGAGGTGGACCTCCCGAGCACGGGGGGGAAAGAGGCTGGAACCGGACGGGCGCTAGACCGCCCAAGCCCAGAGGGTTGGTTGGATTCCGTGTGCACGGCACATGGCGCGATGGCCGTGGTGCTTGACAAGCAGGTGGTAGAGCAGACCCACAAGTACGACGCCGTGAAGAAGTGCGAGTCGACCTCGGTGATCCTTCGGGACAGCAGGTTCGAGCCCCACGCGTTCAGGCCTCTGCTGAAGAAGTCCCTCTTGCACCGTGACCTGCAACCGCTGGACATCCCTGGCGTCGTCGGGAGCGGCGAGGCCGATTGGTTTTCGCCAGGTGCGATGGGGCATTGGCAGCCCTTCTGCGATATCGAGCTGTGCCGTCTTGCTCACGCCGAAGGTCGGCTTGGCATGTGCGATCGCAAGTTCTATTGCAGGCTGATCAACAATGAGATCATATTCAGGCGGAAGGGTGCTGTAGAATGGATGATCGGCATCGGCAATGCCTGCGGGACACTTGGTATCGGCTGGCCAGTGGTCGAGGTGAGCCCTAGGGTGTACAAGGTCGTCCCCGAGAGCACGAGGCGGTTCATTGCAGTCTTGGAGCCATCGGAGTGGGAAGCATTGCCGTTTCGCTGGAGTTCTCCTTTGCGCCAGGCGGTATTGCAGGAGTTGCGGGCGACTGGCGTCTCGGGTCAGGCTTCATACACCAAGGAGGTGGCGTTGAAGGAGCTCCGCCTTCCGACGCTCGTATGTATCTGTCGTTTGCGATCGCCCTCTCGCCGTGCTGACTGCGTCTCGTGCACGCTTGCCCCCTCCTTGTCCATTGCCCCCTTTCACTCCTCAGAGTCGCGCCCCTCTGCTCCCATCCCTCCCCTCTCATCGCTTCATCGTCCGCCGTCGCTCCTTGCCCTCCTCGTCGACGCCGTCGCCTTCTCAAGCGGGCCCCGCCAGGAGTCGACCCAGTACGGAGGCTTCGTCGCCCTAGCCGAGGGCTTGGGGGAGCCGCATGGCTTGCTGACGCGCGCGGCCTTGCAGGGTTTCTGGAACCTGCCATTGTCTTTGCTGCGCGAGATCGCTACTCAGCACGACGTCGACATCGGCGATTGCAGCCTCATCGGGGTGCTCGAGGCGTTGGGCAAACGCTTTATCCCGAGGTGCACTCCGCAGAAGATCGTCGACATGATGCACCTGCGGGACCTTGCCCACGAGCGGAACGAGGAGTCCGTCGCCGAACTCGCCGAGAGCGAGTGGATGACGCACCACTTCGACAAGGACACCGCGGAGTACGTGCTCAAGGAGATCAGCTCGGCCAAGGAGAGCATCGCCAATCGGAGGCGTTTCAGGGGCGACCTCAGCAAGTACAAGGATCCGCCGCCTCTATCTATGTGGAGGGCGAGCACCCTCTCTCCCTTCGCTCAAATTATTTAGACGCCGCCGCTCTCACCCCTGTCTGTTCAGTGCCCTGCTGGTTGCAGTTGTCTCGCCATCGTCGTTGGAGGTCGCGTAGGGTGGCGGCGCGGCAACTCTTGTCACCCCATCACCCCCCCACCCCCACCTCCCAAGCCACAATTGCCCCCCCTCTGCGAGGAGAACGGGGCGGGCAGGCAAGCGCGGTTTGGTCAGCTGCGAAACTTGTCGGCACGCGGTTGTCTCGTTATTTGGGTTGTCCGTGCGAGTTGCTTCGGGGGGCAGGCGCACTCATCAGTGACGGGGCTCGCCGAGGGTGGGCGCCACACTAATATTGGTATTCGGGCGGTGCAGGTGTCGGGCAGGAGGGCGGTGTGTCTACGAGGGAGGGAGGGTGGCGCCGTCGAGTGCGATTCTGTGGAACGGGTTAGGCTTGCGCGCCTCTCGCCCAACAGTGGGGTCATGATAGCATTCAGCTGCCTTCGGCAATCACCGCCGCCTCGACAGCCATCCAGCCACATTGGGAGGTGCACCCGTCAGGCGCGTTCACGGTGACATGGGGCTCGTTGCGACGAGTCGGCGGGGTGCCGCGCGGCATGCTCGTCGGTATCATGATAGCCAGGTGTTCGAGGGGCATTTTGGATGGGATTCTGGCGTTTCGCGTGGGCGTCTTCAGTTGTCGCTCGCAAGCTTGCTCACTCGCGCCTGCATTGCATTGCCTAGCCTGCAGAGGAAGTCGGGTCGCCCCAGCTGGTCGGGTACTATTGTGATGTCTGTTTGGAGCCGAGCGGGTTCTGTAATTAATGTTACATGTCCGTTTCCGAGTCGTGTTCTTGGGGGCCGTGGTGAGGCGTGGTTTGAGTGTTTTGACCATGTATTGATGTCGTTCGGGTCTCTGGGTCGTCGTTGCCTCTTGATGCCGTCGCGCCCTGCGCCGTGCTCGTGACGGATCGAGTGCGTCTGGGGGCGTGGCGGTGGATGGAGGCAGCGGGCTTGGGGGCGCCGTTCGGCTGGGCATGGCGAACAGTGGTCGGGCTGGCTTCAGCCTTGAACGCAGCACCCCGCAGGCCAGTGTACTCGGCGAGGTTCCCGAGAGCACGAGGTCTCAGAAGAATCCGCTCCATGGGCGGAAGTACCCGAAGAAGTTCCCCTCTGCCTCGAACGACCTCCCGCAGTCGGATGCGAAGCGGTACCTCCCCCCCGACAGCTACGTGTGGAGGTCGAACACGCGGGGGGGCTGGCACTACCAGGTCATGGAATTCCCCCGCGGCCACGAGAACTGGAGCGACCACGGCGGCGACTCCTTCAAGGCCATGATGGCGGTGATGCGCCGCGCCTGGGCGCAGTGGTTGAGCTTCCACGAGATGCCCAATTCGGCATGCCCCATCGCTGGCATCTTCGATGGCGCTTGAACTGGGGGGCGATGGGATCGCGTGAGAGGGGAGCAGGTATTAACTAAGATCGGGAGGGGGGTACTTCGTGCATGGAGTTCAAGCGCCTGATTCACGTGTTGCCAGGGAGGGGATATCTTTGGCAGCGTTTCTTGTGTCAGGGCCGACAGCGGCCTTGTTGCCTGCCAGCTTTGCGCTGGGCGGGCTCTCCTCCACCCCCTCGAGTCGACTGGGGGGTGCGTTCATCGAATGTCGCACCCGCTTGCTTCTCACCGCGTGAGAAAAACAACAGAAGCCAGCAGCTGGTTTGACTGTGAGTATGGTAGTCTGCTTGGGTCGTCGAGCGTTTCTGGAGAGCAGCACCTCGGGGGGAATGGGGCGTGACGGTAATCGCGTTTCGTCGTCGTGAATGTTCCAGGTCAGGGCCCGCCACCTACTTGACGGTTGTGTCGCTGCTGCGGTGATGGGGCGCGAGCGCGCGAAGATAGCCGCGCGTCGTGCATCGGGAAGTCCGAAGATCTTTTCGATCCTGGAGTCGCCCCCCTTGATCGGCACGTGCAGGTGGTAGTCCAATGCGTGCCTTCGTGGTTTGGATCAACGGGCGCACGCGGGGTCGTGCCAGCTTACGTCCCCTCGGTGAGTTGGAGTTGGGTGCCTCGTGATGGGTCGTCAGTGGGTCGCGGTATGTTGGGTTCCTGCGTGTGCCATGCGGCCGTGCCCCAGACATCTGTTGTTCGACCTTCCGTCGCTGCTCGAGCGTGATGCCCCTTGGGCCCCGTGGCGTGCACTGCTAATTCCTGCACCCCTCTCCCCCGACCTTGCAGCCCAAAGGCTTCTTTGGCCCGAGGCGTCCTGCAAGCATGTCGGGCTCTAGGGCAGGCCCCGATGGGTACGCTCACTCCATGAGCGTGCAGGACGCATCGGGCGATATGACATGAGGTGCGCGTTGAGGTGTGGGTTGGGAGCGCCGTGATCCGTTGGCGCGTGCGCGCGGGGGCCCCAATGGGCCCACTGTCGCATCGCCCGCCCCCCACACCCCCGCCGACGTCTGAGGCGTGCGCACGTTCGCGCACAGGGGGTTGCCAGTCGCCCCATCACTCCTCCGCCCCCCCCCCCACTCATGCTCGCCGTAGGTTGCGGGCGTTGGTTGCGGGGAAGGGGCGCGGGTTAGAAGCGACGGGCGTGCCCCAGCGCGGACATGGTGGCGCGCGGGGCCCGATTCGGGGAGCGTGTGAGGATGTCGCTTGCGAAATGGGCACCGTGTTGGGTGGTGGTGCGTCAGGGCTTTTGTTGGATACGTTGGCCCCCATTGTCCCTCGCGAGGAGCTTGACGACGCTGGCCTCCTCTCGGTCGCGTCGCCCCTCGACTTCGGCGCCATAGTCGTGCGTGGCCCTGCGTGGGACCGCGACGATGCCGACGGTGGCTCTGGCAAGAAGGGTGAGATCCATGTCCCTGGCAAGCAAGTGTTGTACACGTGGATGACCACCGTCCTGTGCGGCAGCGCGGGCGGCCGTGCTTGCCCCCAGGGCTTCTTCAACGGCGGCTGGTGGATCGATCGCAGTTGCTGGGCGATCTTCGCGGAGTACGACAACGAGGGGTCCTTCTATCGCTGCGGCGACGAGGGGAAGTGGGACCTGGCGAAGATCGCTGGCATGCGCACGCTCGGCGACACGGAGCGCATCCTCTCGGTGGTCCAGGTGCGCGACGTGTGCTGCCAGCTCTTGCGCGAGCACGAGTTCGACTTCAAGCTGGCGTTCCAGCAGGGGAAGTCGGTCAGCGCCGAGACGCTGGTCGCCTTGAAGTTGCAGGTCGGCCAGTGGGCGGAGGCCAGCATCGAGGCCATCATGAAGGAGCACGCGCAGTCCGTGATCAACAGTGGCCCGTTGTCCTTCAGCTTGTCGGGGATAAACCCGTCGCAGGCATTTCCTATCATCTTCATCAATCCTCTCTCTCCACCTCCCTCCTTCCCATCCTCCTCCCCCTCCTGATCTTCCTTTCGTGTTCTCCCCTCCTCATCTTTCATCTTTCCATGTGCAGTCCGCCTCCCTCCCTCCTCCTCTTCCTCCTCCTCCTCCTCCTGGGCTCCCTCTCCTTCTTCCTCCTCATCCCCCTGACCATGCTCCTCCCCCATCTCCTCTTCCCCCTCTTCCTCATGCTCCACCCCTCCTCTTCATCCTCCCCCGTCCCATCCTGTTCCCCCTCCCCCCCGCCGCCCGCCCACGGCCGCCCTATTCCTCCATCCGCTCCCCCGTCGCCCCGACCTTCGTCCTCGTGCCCCGTCCCTGCGCGCGCTTCATCAGCACCCCCCTCTTTCTCGCCCTCATTCTCTCTGCCGTCGCTCGCGTGTTTTTGTCGGTTACTTGTGCCCCTTCCTGTTTTCAACCGAGACCGCCTTGTTCTTGATTTGGTCCTCCCCCGTTGATTTGCCGCGCCCTCCTATCGTGCCCCCCCCCTCCCCCCTCCCCGCCGACCCCTCCTCCCCCTCCATTCGCGCCTCCTCATGCGTGTCCGCCGTTTCCTTCAGGGGGGGTGGATGTGGACGCAACTAGCGAGGTCGGCGCCCGCGAAACTAGCGAGGGACGCGAAGAGGGGACGGGGACAAGGAAGAGGAGGGGGGCGGTGAGGACGAGGGCGAAGAGGCAGACACGGAAGTGGATCACGGTGAGGGGGAGCGGGGGAGCGAGAGGGGGAGGAGGACGAGGACGGCGAGAAGGAGAAGGAACAGGAGGGAGAGGAGGAGGAGGATGAGGAGGGAGAGGGGGAGGATAAGGAGTTCCTCATTCGCCTCCTCCTCTCCCCCCCAGTGCCCCTTTTTTTGCGCATGTCGCGACGGGTCGGCGTATGGATGTGGGAGGTCGTGGTCCCCCTCGGCGGGGTCGGAGGGGGGTGGGTCTGTGGTTTCGAGGTTTCTGTGTGCTGTTGATGCAGCTCCTCCTGCCCCTTCCCCTCCTCCCCCCCTCCTCCTTCTCGCCCTCCCCCCCCCCTTCGTCGTCGTCCTCCTCCTCGTCCTCCCCCCCCCTCTTCCTCCGCTTCCCTTTCCCACCCTGTGCCCTTCGCTCCCCGTGTCCTCGGCCGTCTCGGCGGTGCCGCGCTGCCCCCGCCCTTGCCCAGGGCCTCGAGGGCAGCGTGGACCTGCCCAAGAAGAAGCGCCTGCTGGGCAGGAACAGCAGCGCGGCTTCCGAGCCCAGGAAAAAGTGCAAGTGAGGATCTGTAGGATGAGAAGGACGGGGGCCATGATAGTGGACCGTGGGGGTGTGAAAAGGGGGCTGGGCGGCCATGGGGGCGGCTGAGGGGGCCACGATGGCGGGGTCGGTCGGCGGCCTCCTCTTCGTCGCCATGGGCAAGAGGGGGACAGGCAACACGAGGGGAAGCAGCGACGTCAGGAGGCGGAACTTTGGGGAAGGGGAGGGGGGATGAGGAGGATGAGGGGGAAGAGGAGAGGGGGGAGGGATATAAGAAGGAGGAGCGCTTACCCAGAAACTTGAGGAACAGGAGGAGGAGGGGGGAGGAGGAGGAGGAGGAGGAGGAGGAGGGCGAGGGCCTCCCCCGCCTCGTACAACTGGCGCGCTCGTTGAGGGCCCTGGGGCCCGACAAGGACCCCTTGGGAACGTTTGGCCTAGGTCGTGCCCACAAAAAATCGGGCGGTAGATTTCCCCCTTCCCCGCCCGCCTCCCGTTCGCGCGATTCGCCCCCGTGTTCCCCCCCGTCCAGCGAAGTTTGCTAAGCCACCTCATCCTCTGACCGCCGCCCGCGGCGCCGTGCCCGCGCCCCCGCGCTCGTCGGCTAATTGCCGCTGTGCGGCGAACAACGTTGGACGACGCTGGGCTCGAGTGCGTCGGCTCTGAAAACCCTGCGAGGGCGCGAGGGCCGATGATTGTATTTTAGCAGTGGTGGGAGGAAGGGAATAGCTGGGATTGGAGGGGGGGAATGGCACGAGGGACTTGGAATACGCGCGGGGAACGGGTGGGCGGGGGGGCTGAGGAGGGGGGGATGATGGGGGGGGCTACGGGAAGGAGAGGGAGGACGAGGACGACGAGGAGGGGGATGTGGATAAGGCCGAACAGCCAGAGTTTGATAGGGGCACGGGAATCAGGGATAGAAGGAATGGCGCGGAACCTCCTGTCTTCCATTCCGCCCTCCCTCCCCCACGCGCACTTCTCACCATCGCCCCTCCACTTTCTCTTCCTTCTCACCCTCCTCCTCTTCATTTCAATTCCTCTCCCCCTCCTTCTCTTCCCCCTCCCCCTCCTCCTCCCCATCCCCCCCCATCGTCCTTCCCCCCTTCCCATGTAACGCCCGTGTCAAGTGCAAAGGTGCGACGGTTTCGGGTTCTTTTCGTTGTCTTCGCGGAGCCCGCTGCGTCCATGCATCTCGACCGCCATCGCTGCCGCGTTGATTGTTTCAGGCCCTGGGGCCCCCAAAAAACACCCCCCGCCCTGAACGGTACCGGTACCGGGATATCCTCTCCTCATCCGCCCTCGCATCTACCAACTTCGGTGTCGCCCCATCGTTGAGCCTGGCTTCCAGGCAGCAGGATTTCAGACACTTTGTCCGCGGCACGAGGTTTCCACAAACACGGCACACGGCAGTGTGCCTCCAACCCGCTCAGGCGAGCTGCCCTTTGCCGTTTTCAGGAGCATGAGCGCGCTCACTTAGTATAGTCGGCGAGCCCGCACTCCGCTTGCCTGGCGCGCGTCCCACGTGGCGGCCGGGCATCCTGAAGGGTTGGGAAGGGGCGCGGGGGTTAGACAGTTCTGGCATTTCCTTTTCTTGCTTCCTTTGCTCCGCCAGAGCTGTTCGATCGCCCGCGCAATCCCGACTCGAATCGGATGCCTGCTTGCCGTCCGGGCGCAAACGCCGGCGCGACAGCTTTCTTTGCTGAACGAAACGTGCCCGCTCTACATCCGTGTCGGCCCCATGCTTTCTTTCGCCTAACTACCGAACCCCGCAGTTCTAGATCTTCCTTCTTCCTCTTGGCCCCTGCCATCCCTCCCCCGCGGCCGCGAAGGGCGAGAAGGGTGTCAAGCTGCTGCAGCCCAAAGTGCAGCCCGCCGGGGCGGTGCAGGCGGAACGCCGGGAAGAGGGCGCGGTGCACCTGGCCACGTACAAGTCGTACTTCATGGCCGTAGGAGGGATCTCGTCGGGCAGGGGAGCAAACGCCTCTACACCCTGGTATACGCCCCCTCCCCGTCAACGAACGCCCGCGCTGTTCTGGCGGGTCCTGTGGGCAGCAGCCCGTCCGAACTCGAGGGGTCGAGGCTGGAGCTGCGGCTTCGAGGTCCAAGGTTCGGACCGAGGGTCCAGGATCCAAAGTCGTCGTTGTCGTCGTCGTCATCGTCGTCGTCTTCGTCCATCGATCCACTTCGAAGGTCGCCGTCGCCAGTCGGCGTTCGAAAGTCTCGTCGGGCACAGGGCCCGGCCCGCCGCATCCAGGGAGAGTTACGGTCCGCGCCCCCCCTCTTTGAGGAGGGGCCAAGCGGCTGCGCCGCCCCTCAATGTCGGGGGAATCGCCCCCCTCTTTTTTCGGGCCCCCCCCTGGAGTGTGCGGCCAGGTTCTTTGGATCCACGTGTCGCTGCGCTTGTTCTGCCCCACCGTGTTACGGCGCGACACTCCGGCCACGTCCCAGTCCCCAGGCGCGAATCTCCGGACCTCCCGCCTCGCGGTGCGGAGGGACGCGCTATCTTTTCGCAGTGTATAGCGTGTCGCCGGGGCCGCCGTTGCGACACGCTGACCAAAAGTGCCTGCTTACCGTAGAGACCACAGGCCTTGTACAACTCGTACTTCGTGTGGCCGCAAGGAGAGAGGGAAGGCTCGCCAGTCAGAACAAGAAGGGAATTGCGATCCTTACCTCCCTTACTGTGCGTTGCTCGAACGTTCTGGTCGATTGTCATATTGATTCCATGGCCTCTTTCTTCAATGGCTCTTCCGCTCCGCTCGGGCCCATGCAAGCCTCTGGGTGGAGCTTTGGCATTCCATGGTCTTGATCAAACCACGCAAAGTACGAACTCTGCGTTCGATCAGCGGCAACCTGAGGGATCCATCGAGTTTGACTCCCACTCTCGAGAAATCGTCGGTACGATATGATCCCCTGGGGGGGTGAGGGGCCACAGATCCTTCCAGTTGTGGCTGGTCGGGGTGGGACAGGGCGGAATCGACGCAGCTTCAGGTTGGGGCGTCTTGGGAAGTCTCAGGCGATAAGCGCACCTCGAAAACGTACCAGCCTCCATCCGTGCAAGTCGTGCACGCGTTTCAGACGAATCTTCGCGGCGCGAGGGCCTCATGTTGAACAGGTATCGACGTGGATTTTGGGAGACCCAAGAGATTCCAGGATGGTAGTTTCTAAGGAGGTCTCACGGCAGAACACCCAGCCCGGCCAACAAGCACGCTTGGTGCTGCGACAGGGGTGATTTCATGATGTAGGGGCGGAGTGATGGTGATGACGATGACGATGGCGATGATGACGATGACGATACTGAAGATGATGACGATGATGATGACGATGACGATGACGATGATGATGATGACGATGACGACGATGATGATGATGACGATGATGATGATGATGATGATGATGATGATGATGATGGTGATGATGTTGACGATGCTGATGATGATGACGATGACGACGATGATGATGATGATGCCAATGATGACGACGATGATGATGAGGATGATGATGGTGCTGATGATGACAATACTGATGATGATGCTGATGCTGATGATGCTGATGATGATTCAGATGACGATGATGATGCCGATGCTGATGATGCTGCTGATGATGCTGCTGATGCTGCTGTTGAGGATGATGATGATGCTGATGCTGATGATGATTATGATGATGATGATGCTGATAATGATGATGATGCTGATGATGATGATGCTGCTGCTGCTGATGATGATGATGATGATGATGATGGTGGTGGTGGTGGTGGTGGTGGTGATGATGATGATGATGATGATTATGATGATGATGATGCTGATGATGATGATGATGCTGATGATGATGATGATGATGCTGATGATGATGATGATGATGATGATGCTGTTGCTGCTGCTGCTGCTGCTGATGATGATGATGATGATGATGATGCTGATGATGATGATGATGATGATGATGATGATGATGATGATGATGATGATGATGGTAATGATGATGATGGTGGTGGTGGTGGTGGAGGTGGTGGTGGTGATGATGATGATGCTTCTGATGCAGATGACGAGGAGGAGGAGGAGGAGACGTAGGAGGAGGCGTAGGAGGAAGAGGAAGAGGAAGTAGGTCGATGAGTGAGAGGGGCAGGGAGGAGTGGGGAATAGGAGTTGGAAGAGGAGGAGGCCGAGGAGGATGAGCTTGAGGATGATGATGATGATGATGAGGAGGAGGAGGAGGAGGAGGAGGCAGAGCGAGGGTAGTCCCAACTGGCTTAATTACATCCTTGATTCGCTGAGCCCAGGAACGTGATGCTTGTTGATTCTCCGCTTGCGAATAGCATAGGAGTATGATGAAGAGGCGGAGGGGTGGGCGAGAAAGAGGGGGAGTGTGGAAAGGGGGGTGCAGCAGCAGGTGAAGGAGAAGGAAACGAGTGGGAGAAGAGGAGTACGCGGTGGAGTAGAGTGGGGGATGCATAGAGGGGGAAGGTTAGACGAAGAAGCAGGGGGGAGAAGGGATGTTGTGGAGGATCTCTGCTCCGGCTTTGCGTTCTTCTGTGAGTGCCTATGCCACTCCCGATGACCCATGGATGGCGAAACTCGGCGCGTAAGATCGAGCTAGCCGGACACGAACGAACGGATGGCGTGGGGCATGCAGATACTGGGAAACGGGAGGGCCGTGGACACTGGTGGTGCTCTGCGTGGCCCTGAGCGGCATCATGTTCTTCCAGAACTGCTGCAACCTCTGGATCGCCTACTGGACGACCGAGGACAAGTCGAAAGCCCTGATGCACAGGACGCCCGCCCCTCCAAGAGGCAGGTGGGGCCGTCGGCGATCCTGGTGCTTGGGGCTCGCTGGGGGGCCGAGATGGCTCGGAACGGTCTCCGGCCAGTAGAACGGGGGGAAACGCCGCCACGGCCGGGACGCGGCTGGAAATCAGAGCGTGAATTACCTACCCCGCTTTCGCTTCCAGGCAAAACCAAGTCATACTACGCGCCTCCTCGTCAAGCGGCCTGACAAGTACAGGCCGTAGTTTGGCATCGCTTGGTATCTCTTGGAAGCGAGGGTGGTCAAAAGCGAGGTAGGTTAGTTTGCCCCCTAGGAAAATCAGTTCTGACCAGGTCCAGGGACCGATTTTTTGAGCGGGTCTCGCCCTCCCCTCGGAGCCGAGTTTCTATCGGAGCCCATCCATCGCAGAAGCTCCGGCCGTTTCCACTGTGGGCCGGCCACGGGCACAAGTACCAGGGGGGTGGTGGGAGGGGGGGGGGGCTTCTTTGAATCACCCCTGCTTATCAGAAGGTGCGGGCCTTGTCTGTAGATGCAGGGCTGGCGCCTTCTGAGAAGCAGCCTCGTTCTAAGCAGCCTTCCCCCCCTACTCCCCTTGTGCGCGCCGCCAATAAGCGCCCCTGCTTCTCAGAAGGTGCGAGCCTTGTCTGTAGATGCAGGGCTGGCGCCGTTTGAGAAGCAGCCTCTTTCTGAGCAGCCTCCCCCCTCCCCCTACTCCCCTTGTGCGCGCCGCCAAGGGGGATCCGCTTCGGCCACAGACTCGATTCGCCCCTGACTCGACTTCCCGCCGACTCAACGGAGCGAGGAACGGACAGTGTTCGTGGGCCTGCGAAACGTCGACGTATTTCTTGTAGACCCGACGAGACCAACCAACTTGGAGGTAAAAAACACCTCTGTACAGGCGGCCCGGATCAGTAGGTCGACCCCGCCAGATCAAGGGTACCCTCGTGTCCGGTGTCTTGCGACCCATGCCTCCTGCATCTCTGCGGCAGCGTGGCCCTCGGAAGGGTCCCGTGCCCTCTCGCGTGTCCTCGTGGGGGCAGAGACCAGGTCGTGGGCCTGCGAAACTTTCTACGCGTTTTTCGTAGACCCGACGAGGCCAACCAATTCTGGGGTGTAGACAATACCAGCTCCGCAGTCGATCCCCTGCTCGAGTGCAGAGAGGAGGGGCGCGCTCTGTGGCAGGGCGCGCCGCGCCGAGGGTGGCGGCCGGGCGAGGCCGTGCCCGCGACCTGCGCTCCGATCTGCGACGCGCTGCGCCCGCGGGCCGGGCCGGACGAAAGGGGGGGATAGGGACCGCATGGGCCTGCCATTCGCGCGAGAGCCCCGTTTTGGAAGGGATGGTCTTTCGTGCTCCTATGGGATGAGAAATGAATCTCGGACCTGCTGGATCCTAAAGTGGAGCGCAGGGTCCCGAGAGAGCCCGCTCCATCTTGAAAAATGGTCCGCACCCGCAGTTTCTCGGGCCGGAGGAAAGGGGGGGATTGGGAAAGGGGGGGGTACGAGAGCTGCTGCCTGCAGCTGGGTTTCGGCCCCGCCGTCGGGCCCATTCCTCGAGACATGGCCGCCTCCGGCGCCGGGAGGCGCCGGGAAGATCAGCTACGTGAGCTGCTTCTCAACCCCCCCCTTTGCTATGCCCCCCTGTCGCCCGGCCCGAGCGGGGGCCGCCATTCTCGGGCCGCCCCTTCTCGTGAGTCTCGGCGCCTCGGCGGGAGCGCTCCTGGCGTGGCAGGATCCTCTATAGCACGGCCGCCAGAGGCCTGAGACGCGCATGACCTTCAGATTAGAAAGAGCGTGTTCTACCGCTGCTGGCGGAAAACCGGGGGGGTCACTACCGGTTCGAACCCCTCCCCCCCCCCCCTCCGGAAAACCGGGGGGGGTCACTACCGGTTCGAACCCCTCCCCCCCCCCCCCCCCCAGCTCATCATGAAAAGGGGGGGGGTCACTACCGGTTCGAACCCCCCCCCCCCCCCTCGAAAACCGAGTGGGGGTGCGGACAGAGGTGGGGACGGTGTTGGTGGGACAGTGGTGAGGGGACAGCGGGACAGTGGTGGGGACAGTGGGACAGTGGGACAGTAGAGGGCCAGTAGTGGTGGGGACAACGGTGGGGACAATGGTGGGAACAGGGGGGACAGTGGACAGTGGTGGGGACGGTGGTGGTGGGGACAGTGGTGTGGGCACAGTGGGAATGAGGTGGAAACAGTGGGACAGTGGAGGGTACAATGGTGGTGGGGACAGTGGTGAAGGCGGTGGCGAGGACGGCGGTGGGACAATGGGACAGAGGTACAGTGGGGACAGTGGTGGGGACAGTGGGGACAGTGGTGGGAACAGTGGGACAGCTCAGTGGGACAGCGGAGGAGTCAGTGGGACAGTGGGGACAGTGGGGATAGTCGGGCAGTGGTTGGGGCCGTGGAGACAGTGGGGAGAGTGGAACCGTGGTGGGAACAGTGGTGGGGACAGTGGGGACAGTGCGACAGTGGTGGGGGCACTGGTGGGGACACAGTCGGGACAGTGGTGGTGAGGACAGTGGTGCTGGGAACAACAGTGGAGGATGTGATGCGGACGGTGGTAGGGACCGGGAGTCGTTTGCTGGCGGTGAGTGGGGGGTGGGGAGGGGTTCGAACCGGTAGTGATCCCCCTCCGGTTTTCGAGGGGGGGGGGGTTCGAACCGGTAGTGACCCCCCTCGGTTTTCCGGATCCGGAGGGGGGTGGGGGGGTTCGAACCGGTAGTGACCCCCCCGGTTTTCGAGGGGGAGGGGGGGGGGGGGGGAGGGGTTAGGGGAGGGGGGGGGGTTTGCCGGGGGAGGGGGGGGGGGGGAGGGGGGGTTCCAGCAGGGCGGGGGGGATTTTCGGAGGGGGGGGGGGGCGACCCCCGGGTTCCGGAGGAAAAGGTTGGCAATTTTCCACAGTAAAGCGGCGGTGGATCACGCTCTCTCGTATGGATGCTCCAGCCTACTTTCGCCTGGATCACCAGAAATAGCTTCGAGCGCCAAACAAAGTATCGAAACTCAAGGGTTTTCACGTCTCGGGCCCTGGGAGACACTCGCCCGACACTGTTTCGACACTCTTTCGACACTTTTTCTGGGTGCTCGAAATTATTTCTGGGATGTGGTCCTTAAGTAGGATGGGAACAACATAAACTTAAAACAGGACCCCCAACGTGTTGAAGAAAGGTAGATGCCCGCCGTTTTTGCCCTCTGAGGGCCCCTGCCGGGCCCCGGGATGAAAAGCCGGCCCTGCATGGGGTGGGGGCCGGGATTGTCTGGGATCCCGTAAATAAACAAACAACGCACCAGTCTTCTGGGCATTGATTGGACGAGGATGGGGAGAACCAGCGAGTGTCGATCATGTCACAAGACACCCTTCTGTCCCAAGTCCCCTTCTCATAAGTCTCTGCGTGGTTCCCTGTTCATTTCAGGAAGCGCCCCCTCCGCAGACGGGCACCGCATGGATCTGCCATTCGCGCGAGAGCCCCGTTTTGGAAGGGATTGCTCTTTCGTGCTCGTATGGGACGAGAAATGAATCTCGGACCGGCTGGATCCTGAAGTGGAGCGCAGGGTCCCGCGAGAGCCCGCCCCATCTTGATAAAAGGGTCCGCCCCCGCAGTTTCTCGGGCCGGACGAAAGGGGAGATTAAGAAAGGGGGGGTACGAAATCTGCTGCACGCAGCTGGTTTCGGCCCCACCGAGGGGCCCATTCCTCGATACATGGCCGCCTCCGGCGCCGGGAGGCGCCGGGAAGATCAGCTACGTGGGCTGCTTCTCACCCCCCCCCTTTGCTATACCCCCCCTTCGCCCAACCCGAAATTTCCAGCTCGCTGCGGCCCGGCCCGATCGGGGCTCGTCTCGGTTCCTCCGATTCGATTCGCTTCGATTTCGGTGTGTTCCGATGCCGATTCGATTCGGCTTCGGATTCCGGTGTGGATCCCGAGGTCTCAAGGGGGGCCCCCCACACCCCTCTGCAGATTTCCGCCGACTCGACTTCTGCCGACTTGGCTGCTGGTTCCTCCGACGATGCGATTCTTTCCGATCCCCGATCCGACTTCTCGATTCGGTCCTGGGCTCCCCTGCTCTATTCACCGGCCTCGGCCGGGGCCAGCCAGAAGCTGGGCGTGGCGACTCGATGCCGGTGCGATGCGGGACGATCTCCCGGGCTGAATCCGATGCGCTCTCGATCAGGATCCGCTCTTCAGTAGGGGAAAAAACACAGACACAATTCATCGTCGATTCCCAGGAAAAGAAGGGAACATATGGGCAGTGGGGGGGGAGACAGAAACCCAGAAAATATGTGAAAATATGGGGAAGCATTTTATTTGTGTGTATTTATTTGTGTGTCCCAGGGCCCCTTCAGCTTTGGCGAGCCCATCCGGCGCAGACAGGCCAGGTCCGCACCTTGAGAGCGGGGCTCGACTAGACGGAAGAGTGACCTTTCGCCGGAGGGACCTTTGGTGCGGGCCCACCGGGTTCCCCCGATCGCCAGACGCGATGCGGTAATTAGTCGCGTCTTGCGCGTTCGTGTTCGCCCCCCCGCGGTCTCCAAAAAGCAGCGCACCAGAGGTCACTCTTACCCAGGGTCACTAAAATCAAGCAGTGGCGAAGCGTCCTGGTCGCCTATAGCCCTACCAAACAATATTCTAAGAATCTTTTCTGGTTTCCACGGAATGTTCTTAGAACATTTCTGGCGGAATCCGTCTTGTTTGAACGCATCGGGTCTATGTTCTAAGAACATTGTTCTTGTTCTTAGAACATACTTGGGTTCTAAGGACAAGTCGTGGTAGGACTATCGGAATGCCGGGACGGCCGGTCCCTGCTCAATAAAAGCCGCGCACCAGAGGTCACTCTTACCCAGGGTCGCTCTTGCGTGCAGTCGAGGGGCGTCGCCACTCCTCCGCCCCCGGCGCCCCGGCCCGGCGCCCCTCTCTGGCCCTCGGGGGCCCCTCGCCGCAGAGGCCGCTCCCGGGGGCTCGCGGGGGCTGCCGCACGAGAGAGGGGCCGACGACGGCACGGGCAGTCGACCAAGCAGTGGCGAAGCGTCCCGGCGTACCTACCTATAGCCCTACCAAGCAGTGTTCTCTAAGAACCTCCTGTGGCTTCCTCGACATGTTCTCAGAACACTTCTGGCGGAGTCTGCCTTGGTTTAGCACTTCGGGTTTATGTTCTAAAAGCATTGCTGTTCGGGGGTGGACAGACCTCCTACCCTGACACGTCGATTCAGGAATCGGCTGTTTTCGGTTCGCGGGAGGGCGCCGCGGCCGCCGTTTTTGCGGGTCCAGGTCCGTCGGTTTCGGTCCCAGGCCGTTTTCACTAAGAGGAGATTTGCTAAAGGGCGGTCTGTCCACCGCCGAGTTTGATGGGCCTGTTTTCCACCACCACCACCACCATCAGTTGGAGGAGGAGGAGGACGACGACGAAGAGGAGGAGGAGGAGGACGAGGAGGAGGAGGAGGAGGAGGAGGTGGAGGAGGACCCCCTCCCCCTCCAACTTATGGTGGTGGTGGAAAACAAGCCCATCAGAGTTTTTGTTCTCAGAACATGTCTGGGTTCTCAGAACATCGCGTGGCAGGCCCGTAGGACTGCCGGGGCGGTCGGTCCCTGCTCAGGCCTCGACGCGCGCAGCCACGCGCTCTCTCTCTCTCTCTCTCTCTCTCTCTTCTGCCTGTCGCTTCGGTTTTTTTTTGGTTTGTTCTCTCTCTCTCTCTATGTTGTTTTCCTGTTTGTCTATCCCTCGTTCCTCTCTCTCTCTCTGTTGTCTTCCTCTTTGTCTACCCCTCGTTCCTCTCTCTCTCTCTCTCTTTTGTCTTCCTCTTTGCCTATCCCTCGTTCCTCTCTCTCTCTCTTTTGTATTCCTCGTTGCCTATCCCTCGTTCCTCTCTCTCTCTCTCTCTTTTCTCTCGGTCCGTCGACGACCGCGCGAGAGCGTCAGAGCCCAGAGGTCAGTCCGAACCCCCTCTTCAACCCGCCTCCCCAGTCGGCCCACCTGGGCCCCGACTGGCTTGTGCGTGAGGCCGGGACTCACGGCCACCTGGCCAGCGGTGCCACCCAACGCATGGGCCGTAGGCAGGCTCTCGCGCATCATTCCGCTGCTGCGAACAGTCAGCACAGAGGGGACCGAGGCACCGCTCCCACCGCCAGCATTCATGCGCTCTACAGTCGGGGCCCTGAAGAAGGCACCCTTTTCGTTGGGGAGGGGCTCCGCGTTCCTTAAGTGTGTCACAGCTTGCCTCAGGCTTTCCTTATGCTGTCGACAGGAAGTCGAGGGTTAACTTATGGAAAATAGGGACCTCGCTCCTTATTTAGGGTTCCTTAGGTCAACGCCCCGACTGTATCAGCGGGCCAGCCAGCCGGCGCCCTCGCCCCGCCGAATTTGGGGCTCCGGCGAGCGCCAGATAGAGGTCTGCAGGGCCCTTCGGCCCGCGGTGGCCCGGGGGGCATCCCTCCATGGCAACCTCCAGGCCTTTCTCGTTAAGTCGGGCAGGTCCCTCTACAGGAGGAAACTTCAAACATAGTTTTAAAAATCGTCAGTGGGGCGATCTTCCTATGTTGGATTATGTTTCAGTATGTTTTGGCAGTTTTTCGTGTTTGAACCAAAACCCGCCTGCAGGAGGACATGCCCGACCGAGCCTTACCGACGTTCAGCGTGGGGCACACCAGTGCCAGCATCCCTCCTCATCCTAAGGCCTCGCGAAGAGTTGGCGCCTGCTCCGTCGCCTGTTCTCTCTGGGCCGATGCGGGAGAGATGCCCCAAGGCGGTGTCGTTCATAGTTTCCCGTGCTTCGCAATTCCTGCGTGGTAGTGTGCGGGTATCCGTGCGCCCTCCTCCAGCCCCGGCCCCTGCTCCCAGTCGCCATTTGGTTCGTCTTTCTGCTTGAGCTCCTCGTTCTTGTCGTCATGGCCGTCGTCGTTTTGCGCCCGCCTGCTCTTCCTGCTGTCCTCCTACTCTTCCTCATCTCTCCCTGTTGCTGCTCCTCCTCTTCCTCATCATCATTTTCCACATCGTCGTCCTCCTCCTTGGCGTCCATTTACTCTTCGTCTGTTCCCCCGATGTTGCAGCTGAATCTCAAAGGGGCACTTCCTTCAGTGACCTTGAATCCTTGCAGGGACTTATGACAAAGGGAACTTGGAGAGAGGGTTGATCGCAACACTGTTGGTGGGTCTTGGGTTTGCATTGGTCCTCCTCCTCCTCCGTTCCATCATGTTTATTATTGCCATTCATTTCCGACCCTCATCTTCCATATCCTCCTTCCGCTCCTTTCCCCCCGGCTCTTTTTGGTTGTTGGCTATTCTGTTCCAGTTTGGGGGCACTGGTTTCACCTCCTAGGTGCCTTCTCAATGGAACGCTTTCGAGGGCTTCCTGACCTGACCTCTCCCCTCCTCCTCCTCCTCCTCCTCCTCCTCCTCCTCCTCCTCCTCCTCTTCCTCCTCCTCCCTTCGCCTCCTCCTCTCCTCCTCTTCCTCCTCCTCCTCGTCTGATTCTCCTCTCCCTCCTCCGCCTCCCCCTCCTCCTCCTTCGCTCCTCCTCCTCCTCCTCCTCCCCTCCTCCTCCTCCTCCTCCTCCTCCTCCTCCTCCTCCTCTCTCTGCTCCTTCTCCTCCTCATCCTGTTTCTTCCTCCTCCTCCTCCTCCTCCTCCTCCTCCTCCTCTCCCTCCTCTCCTCCTCCCTCCTCCTCCTCCCCCCCCACACACCCCCCGCGCACACCTTTTCTCCGGTGCTCCCTGCTGCCGTGTTGCCCCCCCCCCCCCCCCCCGGCCGCTGTCCTTTCCTCACCGTTCTCCTTCATGAGCTCCCTCCTCGCCCGCGCCCCGAGCTGGGTGACGCTCTTCCTGGGCCACGAGCCCTCGGCGGCAGGCACGTTCCTGGGCGTCTACGGGTGCTTTGCCGCGCCCTCAGGGGGGTAGGCAGGGCGGCAGACGTCGCCGATGGGGGAGGCCGACCGAGAATCGGCGGGGCGGTGGTGTGGGGACGGTGGGGTAGCAGGAGGAGAAGGAGAAGGAGGAGGAGGAGGAGGAGGAGGAGGAGGATGCTGATGATGCGGATGACGCTGATGATGAGATGCCGGCGACGACGGCGACCACGACGACGATGATGATGTTGATGGCGATGATGATGATGCTGCTGCTGATGATGAGTATGCTGATGTTGACGATGCTGATGATGACGATGATGATGATGATGACGATGATGACGCTGCTGCTGGTGCTGCGGTTGGCGATCATGCTGATGTGATGACGATGATGGTGATGATGAGGCTGATGATGACGAGGATGACGCTGGTGATGCTGGTGAAGTTGATGCTGTTGATGGTGATGCTGCTGATGCTGAAGATGATGATTATGCTGGTGGTGGTGATGTTCCTGATGCTGCTGATGGTGACGATGATGATGCTGATGATGATGTTGCTGATGAGGATGACGCTGATGATGCTGCTGATGATGACGCCGAGGGGGAGGAGGAGAAGGAGGAGGAAGAAGAGGAGGAGGAGGTGGTGGAGGATGAGGAGGAGAATGAGGAGGAGGAGGGGGAGCTGGAGGAGGAGTGGAGTGGAGTGGACGCCATCACGAGGTGATATCCCAGAATCACTCACACCCGAGGCCCTCGCTGCCTGTTGAGCTCGGGTAAGCGCCTCAGGCCAGAGGCCGCGATCTAAACGTCGGAGATATTCTCGCCTGGTGTCGCTGGCTAACCCAGTGCAGGGCGCTTTCAAACCTTTCGAGAGGAGCTCGGTACTATAGAAGCCACACGTTGTACAATGCCAAACTTTCAGGCCAACATGAAACGCCATCTTATGTTGGGGCCCCACCCAGCCCCCGCAAAGATGCAAGGATTGATCAGCAGGCAGATGCAAGACACCTTGGCCTCCCAACACGAGCTCAAAACACGGGGTCGTCCGCCACTGCGTGACAGACACGAGCTCAAAACACGGAGCTGGAGGAGGAGGAGGAGGAGGAGGAGGAGGAGGAGGGGGAGGAGGAGGAGGAGGAGGAGGCGGAGAATACTAATAAGAAGAAGAAGAGGTGGAGGAGGAGGAGGAGCATGAGGAGGAGGAGGGGGGCGGCAGTAGCAGGAGGAGGTTGAGAGGAGGAGGAGGAGGAGGAAGATCGAGGAGGAGGACGAGGCGGAGGACGAGGTCGAGGAGAGGCGGAGGAGGAGGATGGTGATGATGCTGATGTTGATGCTGCTGGTGATGATGAAGATGATGCTGCTGATGATGATGCTGGTGATGATGATGGTGAAGATGATGTTGAATAATATGAATCTGAGGATGATGATGGTGATGCTGATGCTGCTGATGCTGCTGATTATGATGGTGATGATGCTGATCATTCTGGTGTTGATGATAAGGAGGAGGAGGAGGAGGAGGAGGAGGAGGAGGAGGGGGAGGTGGATGAGGAGAAGGAGGAGGAGAAGGAGGAGGCAGAGGAAGAGGACAAGCAGGGGGGAGGAGCGGAGATTCGCCCTCCTCCCTCCTCCGTTTAAAGAAGCCATCAAACGTGCAGCTGCTGTGCCAGCACATCGGGCCCCCGGGCCTACCATGCTCCTATCCAGTCGAATCTTTTCTACGAGCAGGCCTGAGAACTGGTCAAAGAATCGGGGTATCAGGTTGCTCCCCGGAAACTCATTGTCTATGACGTTGCCGTTGTCAGAGGCCCAATGGATGAGGGCTGGCCTTTAGACCCGAGGAGGTCGATGTCGTTCCTGGAGAGGCTGTGCCTGGGAAGATCCAGCACACCATCCTGGCTTTCGTTCACTTGCGCTCAGGTGCTCGCCGACCCAGAGACCTGCAGGAATCGCTGGAGCGGATGCTGGTCGGTGGGCCTTGGACCGTGTTTGTTTGTTCTCTGGACACTACCCCGGGCCCGAACAACAGCGACCTTACCCAGACCCCCATCGTGGCCAAGTGGGGGTGAGCTTCTCAGACCTGGTGGGGATCTCGACACTGCTGGAGGGCCTCCTTGTGAATCGTGGTCTGCTGTCAGGTGGACTCGACCCACTGGGGCTGGAACCCTCCTGCTCAGGACCTGCAATGGCCGTTGGGGGGGAGCAGCATGCGACTACGAAGCAGCATGTGCAGTTGGAAGCAGGAAATCGGCTCCTCACCAGCTTACACCAGTTGCGCATGGTATGTTTGCAAGTCGGGGCGGCACGCGGGGTTATCGAGCATTCTGGGCAGGCGTGGTGGGAACCAAGGGCACCGAGCTTTGGGGAACTCGACCCTGCTCGCGCCATCGCTGCCTCCCCTGCGTATCAGATGATCAATTTCGACCAGTTCATTTCGGACAGGTGAGTCGGTCACCCACTATTTTGCTGGCTATAAGACCCCTGAGCCTCGTGATGCTATCCGAGAGACCGGTCCAGCAGGCCCCTGTTCCTACCCCGGCCGTTGCCACCAAGTTTTGACTGGAAGGAGTGAGGGTGGTTCCCGGAAGAATGCCCCACAGAACAGATACCCCTTTGGTATGTGCATGTGGACGGCGAAGTTCATCCTCTCCTTTCTGAACCAGGCATGGAGTGCCACCGGAATCGATCAATATTGCACTGATTTCCCAGTTGAGTTGGCACCGATCTTCAAGGCAATGGACGCACATGAAAACCCGAATTCTGGCCTTGCTGAAGACTGCTCCGTCTTTGACACCACAAAAGAAGCAAATCACGGGAACTCAGATTCGACCGCCCTGTCCGACCAACCGCAGGTTCCCGAGGAAGACCCGTTCCGCGAGTACGAGATGTACGCCACTGTCGCAGGCCCCCAACCTCTTCCCACTCCTCCCCGTCCCCTTCCGCCTGCGCTTCAGCATTCGGAGGAACCCCGCTTGTGAATCCCACAGGAGAGGGAGGTGGCCCAAGAGAGAGGCAGCGGTAGCGGCATCGCGCTGCAGCCGGACTCGGGCCCATCTTTGGTTCTCTTGTCGGCAGAGCGGACACCACTGAGTGGGATCCGTTCTGTCACCTTCCAGCACACTAGCTCATGTGCTCGGGAAGCCACCGGCAGCGCGTCGCCACTTACCGATGCCGCTGCCGATGCCTCTCCTCCCTCCTCCCTTCCCTCCCCGCCCCCTCGCGGAGGAGGGCCCTGCCCCAGAGAGGGCGTGGAGGGAGGTGCCCCCTACATCCCCCCTCGAAATCAAACGCAAGCTTTTCCCGCGACGCGGCGGTGCCCCAGGACCCCAAAGATTCAATGCTCGCGCCGAAAAGAGCTGGCGACTGCAGGCACAAAACCTGACCTCGTGGGCCGCCCTTTCGCTCGTCGAGGGGGTGGGTCTGTAGCCAGACCGGGAGGCCCCATCGCCCCTGGGGCCCAGCCAGTGCCCAGCCGGGGCCTCCTCGCCAGCGTGTGGCCGTCGGCACCCTGCCGCCATCGCCGTCGATCGATCGGTCGGCGGCGAAGGCGGTGGCAGGGCGTCGAGACGAAGACGACGAAGCGCTCCCAGACGTGCTCGCGGCGTAGCTCGGCTACGCGCAGAGGGGTGTGGGGGGGGGGGAAGGGGGGGGGGCTTCTTGGAAGCACCCCTGCTTCTTTTCGAAGGCGGGGGCTCTACCTATAGATGTGAGGCCCGCGCCTTCTGAGAAGCAGCCTCCTTCTCTTCAGAAACACTGCCCCCCTCCCTCCCCCCCCTGGTGCGCGCCGCCAAGAAGCGTTATGTCGGGCCTGTCCCCAAACAGGGGGGGTTTTCGACGAAAAATAAGAAATGCCCAAGAATTAATCAAACAATAATCCAAAAATAGTCTGGGGACAAGTTTTTTTTTTGTTTTTTGTAAAAAAAGTTTGATGCATTTTGGGGGTATCTTATATTTTTCGTCGAAAATCCCCCTGTAGGGGGACACGCCCGACATAACCCTACTCGAGGTCAAACCGCAAGGTTTCAGCGCGGGTCGACGCGCGAAGCGCGGCCCACGGGGTCAGGCTTCCGAATATTTGCAGTCGCCAATTGGGGCACGAGCGCTGGGATTTGGTGATCCTAGGGTGCCGCCGCATCACGGGGCAGACTTGCGCGCGATCTCGAGGGGGGAAAGCAGGTCCGTCGGGGATTCGGGATCACAGGGTCGGGGCTTCCAGGGACCCCCGTACAGCACAAACCATTCCGTCGGATGTGTGTGGGGGCGAAGCACTCCGATTCTTGATTTATGATGTTCCAACCTACTTAAGCCTTGATCACCAGATAGAATTTGGAACACCAGAAAAGTACCCCCAAAACTCGAAGGTTTTCACGTGTCGGGCCCTGGGAGACACTCGTCCGACACTGTTTCGATTCTCTTTCGACACTTTCCCGGGTGCTCGGAATTATTTCTGGGATGTGGTCCTTGGGTGCGATGGGAGCAACAGAATCCTCGATAGCAGATCGCGGTCTGGGATTTTCAGGTCACGGTGCTCGGATGGCCTTGGCCGTCGCTGGGCCTGCGCAGGCCTCTCGGGGGGGGCCACGGGAGCCGTCGGCCGAGGTGGTCCTCTTCACCGTGTCCAACTTCGCCGGGCACGGCATCGAGATCGTTGGCGGCGTGAACGCCTCGTGGAAGATCTTCCAAGACGCCCTCACCGGGAGCCGGGGGCTGGTCGTGCGCTGCCCGCTTGCTAGTGCAGCCTCCAGGGCGGGCAAGCGGAAGCACTGCTGGGCCTTCTCGTGGAAAGCGCGCCACTGGATCACCCCTCCTCCCCCTTTTCAAAGGGGGGGTGAGATTTTCGACCCCCCCCCCCTCCCCCTTAAGGGGGGGGGGTCCGACCCCCCTCCCCTCCCCCCCCTCCCCATGAAGGGGGCGGGGGGTCCAGACCCCCCCCCCCCTCCCCCCCTTTGCGCTGGAGGGGGGGGGGGCTTCGAACCCCCCCCTTCCCCCCCTTTGCGCCGAACAGGGGGCCGGGGAGGGGGCCTCTCCCGCGAGGGGGGGGTCCGGCCTCGGGATAGTGAGTAGAGAATATTGAGTAGTGAGCAGTGAGTAGTGAGCAGTGAGTAGTGAGCAGTGAGTAGTGACTAGTGAATAGTGAGTAATGAGTAGGTACTAGCGAGTAGTGAGGAGTGAGTAGTGATTAGTGAGTAGTGCGCAGTGAGTAGTGAGGAGTGAGTAGTGACTAGTGAGTAGTTGGTAGTGGAGAGTGAGTAGTGAGTAGTGAGTAGCGAGTAGGGCGTAGCGAGTGGTGAATAGCGAGTAGCGAGTAGGGCACTGTGAGTAGTGTGAGTAGTGAGGAGGGAGTAGTCAGGAGTGAGTAGCGAGTAGAGAGTAGTAAGTAGCGAACAGGGAGTAGCGAGTAGTGAGTAGTGAGGAATGAGTAGTGAGTGGTGAGTAGGGAGTAGTGATTAGTGAGTAGTGGGAAGTGAGAAGTGGGTAGTGAGTAGTGGGAAGTGCGTAGGGAGTAGCGAGTAGAGAGTAGTGAGTAGTGATTACTGAGTAGTGGGTAGTGGCGTGTGGCTCGTGAGTAGGGAGTAGAGAGTAGTGATTAGTGCGTTGTGCGTAGTGGGTAGTGAATATTGCGTATAGGGTACCGAGTAGCGAGTAGGGAGTCGCGACTAGTGAATAGTGATACGTGAGCAGTGAGTAGTATGTAAGGAGTAGGGAGTAGCGAGTGGCGAGCAACGGATTGTTAGTAGTGACTTGTGGACACCGAGTAGTGAGTAGTAAATTCTGAATATCCAGTAGTGAGTAGTGGATAGTGGTTAGTGGGAGGTGGGTAGTGGTTGGTTAGTAGTGAGTAGTGTGTAGTGAGTAGTGTTTCGTGAGCTAGTGAGTACTGAGTAGTGGGTAGTGAATAGTGAGTAGTGAGTATTGAGTTGGGAGTAAGGAGTAGTGAGTAGTGCGTAGTGGGTGGTGGGCGGTCAGTAGTGGGTAGTGAGTAGTGAGTATTGATTAGTGAGCAGTGAGTAGTGGTTAGTGAGTAGAGAGTAGCGAGTCGTGAGTGGTGGGTAGTGAATTGCGAATAATGAGTACTGAGAACTGTTTGGGGCTAGGGTCAGGGTTTGGGATTCGGGTTCCGGGTGGTCGGGGTGGTAGTGTTAGGGGTGGTAGGGGTCGGGTTCCGGAGCCAGGGGGCGCCGTGGCGAACCGGGGGAGTGGTTCGAATTTGGCGGCCAAAGGGGGCGAGGGGTGTGTGTTCGGACCCCCCCCCCTCTTTTGAAAGGGGGGGGGGGTCCCCGACGACGGACCCGGAAAGGGGGGGAGGGGGGGTGACCTTCCCCGACGACGGATCGGGGAAAGGGGGGGGAGGAGGGGTTTCCACTCTCCCCCCCCTTGGGGACACCCAGCGGCGCGCCCTCCTTTTCGTTGACGTGGGTCCAAATGCCACATCTCGTCTCTTCCGCACTCTTCTCAACAGGTCGCTTCCGCACTCTCCTCAACAGGTCTTTGTGAATTTGTGCAACGCAGCGCCGCCTGGTGCCTTGCCTTGCTGACGCAAGGTTCTGACGATTGTGTTTCCATGTGCACGCCCAGGAGGAGACATGTCGAACCACGCATCGGCTGCCCCCCGTGCCCTCTGCCCCCCTCCTTCCCCCTGGGCGCAGCTTGCTGCGCTCTCTTGTGCTGGCGTTGTCTTGGACGTATCACATTGCTTAGATCGTCACGGGAGCTTCTGCTCTTCTTGGATTGGACGTGAATCGGCGAGTAACGTCCGATAGCGCCCAACGGCACCCAACAGCGCCCAATAGCGCGCACCGCGCCCCATAGAGCCCGAAAACGTTCAATAGCGCCCAATGGCGCCGAATAGCATTCCATGGTGCCCAATAGCAACCTACAGCGCCCACCAGCGCCATGTGAGGGAGATGCGTTGCGTCCGCTCTTTCGCGCGACTGGGTGCGCGACCAGGCGCGCCATCGGGCGCCATGGGGACGACCAAGAGCTTCTGTGAGTTGCTTCCTAGCCTGATATCAGTATCGTTTGACTTATCCCCATCCCCATCCCCATCCAGAACCCCACCATCTTATCCCCCCTGTTGGGGATATACCCTTCGAAATCTGGCAGAAATTGCCTATATCCCCATTTATGCGGGTACTGGCCAGTGGGGCCCAGGCCACGCGAGTGGGGATAATTAGGGATCGGTTAATTGATGCTCATTGTATTTCGTTGGTCGTTGGCATGTGGAAGTCCTCTTGAGCGCCGACCGTCGTCATTGACACAACCGCGCAGGAACTTACGCAGCCCAGTAGGCAGCGGAGCATTCGGGGGGGTGTTGCTTCGCAGCGGTGTGCGCCTCCTGCCGCAGGGGGTGCGGCGGTGCGAGGCCCCCTCCCCTCCCAAGGACCATGCGGCGCCCTTTCCGCTGGTGGGACGCCAACCCGCCCGGCCGCGTGCTGAACCGCTTCTCCGAAGACGTCAACGGAGACGCTTCCGAAACACGGGAGGAGCAGGAGGACCGCCAGGAAGGAAGCGGGCCCTGAATCAAAGTAGGAAAAAACACCCGGACCCGATAATTGGCGTTGGTAAGCGGCCTTGGGCGTTTACTAAACAGCCTTGCCCTGTTCGACTTCTTCTTTGGGTGCGTTTACTGTACGGCCTCGCTTGTCGGGGTGGTTATTCTGGGCGTGTATTTTTTGCCCTCTACTGAAGGAAACGGGTCTTGAGGCTTTTCGCCGTTTGTGGCCTCCCGGGGGCTTGCACGGGCACCAAGACTGTCATCGGGAGGATCGAATTGGATACGGAAAAAATGGGTACGATGCCCAACAGCACTTCTTGTTCATTCTGAGCAGGAACCGCTGTCCGCGCCGCCGCGGGCGCTGTGTTCTTCGAAGACAGAACGCCGCCTGCCCAACAGCGGCCGCTGTCGGCTTTGGACAACATGTGCTGTTGGGCATTGTACCCTTTTTGTCCGTACCCGTTTCGGGCGTCCAGGTTCAGGAGGGGAAAAAACACAGACACAATCAATCGTCGATTCCCCAGAAAATACGGGAACGTATTGGAATTGAGGGGAAGACAGAAACCCAGAAAGTATGGGAAAGTATGGGGTATCCTGTCATATTTGTGTGTATTTATTTGTGTGCCCCAGGGCCCCTCCACAGATGTCAGGAAGCGGCTCGGGATGAGCACGTGGCGCCTCTGGCGGGAAGGGTCCCGGGGTCCGGGGCCCGTGTGCCCCACGGGACGCGGGGCCTTCCTGCTCGGCCGAGCGGGGGAGGAGGGCGAGGGAAGGCGCAGGCGAGGGGAGGGCGAAGGGAGGAGGGCGGGGGAGGAGGGCGAGGGGAGGGCGAAGGGAGGAGGGCGAGGGGAGGAGGGCGAGGAGGCTGAGGGGCTGATGAGGTCGCGGGCGATGTTTCTATCCCCCCCCCCCGGCTTTTCGACGAAGAATGAAGCGGCTAAGAACAGCAGGGGGACCCTGGGATACACCCCGAGGAGGCTATTCGGACGCACCACTATCGAGGATGGGCACCCCCCTCTCATATCCCAGGGTTGGGCCCCAAATTTTTGATCCATTCGAAAACCCGACGAAGCCTGGGGTAGGGGTTGACATATCCCCTGTAAGATGGGGAGGAGGGAGACTCAGAGGAGGAAGGGTACCCATACTGCTACCCTTCGCCCGTTAGCCACTTCTGGGGGCCTCCCGGGAGTCCCTCGTCGCCACCGCGGGGTTCGCTTCGAAATTCTGGTCAGAACGCACCTTGGGAGAGGTTGGGGAGCATCTTGGTCTTCCCAGGGACGGGGACAGAGGTGGCGGGGGAGCACTTGCGAAGGAGCAGGGGAGGAGGACGGCGCAGGCGGGCAGCGCGTGCAGCGAGAGTGGCGTTGGGATGTGACGCACAGGGTGGCATTCGGCATTTGGGGGACTCCTCCTCCTCCTCCTCCTCCTCCTCCTCCTCCTCCCCCTCGTTCCCACTGGCGTTTCGGGGCCGCCAGAGTGCTCTGGGGAGGGGCTGGTTTTGCTGAGGGGAGACTGGGTACTGGGTGGGACGGATGGGTTGGGTGGGAGGGGGAAGGGAGGGAGGCCTGGGAGGAGGGATGAGTCTTCGCAACCACCACCACCGTCGCCGCCGCCACCGGCCCCCACCGCCACCACCACTGGAAGAAGGTGCGCCTGTCGATCATATGATTCCACAGGACGCAGTCTGGATGCATCTCCTCTCTCTGGAGCTTGGTACATCTTTCAGGTCGGTCGGACATGCAATGTGGTTTCCCTCAGCCCAGTGATCATCGCGCTGTCGTCCCCTCTTACTGGTGATCATCTCGCTATCGTCCCATCTTCCGCGTGCAGCACCAGCCCTGATCATTCCGTGCTCACAGCGAGCTGAGGTGCATTCGTTTTTCACGCCCTTGCCCTACACCTCCCAAATCCCCATCCTCCTCCTCCCCCAGTCATGGACAACGCGATCACCAACATCCTGGGCGTCATATTCGGAGCGGTGCTGTATTTTGTCAGCCACCTCATCGTCCTCTCGCTGGCCAACCCCTACTCCCTCCTGCTCCTGCCCTTCATCGGCTGCGGCCCGGAGCTCAGAGGGCCGCGCCGCCTCGGGGCCCCACACTTCCGTCGGGCCTGTCCCTCTACAGGGGGGATCTTCAAAAATAGTCCACAAATGGTCTGGGGACGATTTTTCTAGTATTTTTTTGCCATTTTGGAGCATTTTTTGGGTATTTGTATTTTTTTGTCCAAAATCCCCTTGTAGGGGGGGACAGGCCCGACCTGACCCTATACTGCAGCTCTCCGGGCCGCGCGAAGGGGTCCGGGTCCCCCCCGCGGGGGCGGGGAGACGGCTGCGCCGTGCTCGCGCCGCGGTCTTGGGCCGGAGCGGCTGCCCTGCTCCGGTGGACGTGGGGGCGCGGGGGCCAGAGGGCGCGAAGGTAGGCGCTCGGGAGCCTTGAGACGAGGGTCAATTCAAAGGGGGGTCAGCCAGGGCGCCAGATCTTGCAGGATCCTGCAGAGCCAGGGTCGCATTGACCCCGGTTTGGGTGCAGGATCCTGCAGGATCTTTCGTATTGACCCGGGTTTAGGTGCAGGATCTTGCAGGATTTTGCAAGGCCTGATTGACCCGGGTCTGGACTGACCCGGGTCAGAAGATCCCCGACGCGCATCGCGGAGCGCGGTGCGCGAAGTTGGGTGAACTGGGGGGTGCTCTGGATGTAACCCCTGCCGCCCTGCAGCGGCTGCGGGGCCGCCCCGGGCCAGGGCAAGTTGTGCATGTCCCCTTACTGTGAGGAGTTTTCAAAGAAGTTGTAAAAAGAGAGTACGGGGAGGATCTGTTTTTGCAAGCTGTTCGTTCCCTATGTTGGCATATGTTTCGGCTATGTTTCCTTCTTCGTCCAGAATCCTCCTGTAGGAGGACAGGCCCGACCTGAGATTAAGTCGGGCCTGTCTCTCTACAGGGGGAATGCTCAAACATAGTCAAGGGACGATGTTTTGCATTTTTTTTTTTGTGCCATTTTGGAGCATTTTTGGTGTGCTTTATTTTTTTCGTCCAAAATCCCCCGGTAGGGGGACAGGCCCGACTTAAACCTAAGACCGGGGGCGCGATGCGCGAAGTTGGGCGAACCGGGGGGGGGGAGTGTTCTGCGGGGAGGCCAGCCGTTTCCCCCCCCCCCTCCCCCCCCATGGAGGCTGCGGAAGGGTCGCCCTTGGGGGCCAGGACCACCTCCTCCGACGGCAGCCCGGAGCGATCGGGACCTTCGGGGGTGTGCTCTGGAGGCCGAGGAGGAGGCCGAGGAGGAGGAGGGAGAGGAGGAGGCCGAGGAGGAGGAGGAGAAGAAGGAGGAGGAGGAGGTGGAGGAGGTGGAGGAGGAGGGGGAGGGGGAGGGGGAGGGGGAGGGGGAGGACGAGGAGGAGGGGGAGGGGAAGGGGGAGGAGGCGGAGGAAGGAGAGAGGAGGAGGAGGAGGAGGAGGAGGAGGTGGAGGAGGAGGAGGAGGCGGAGGAGGGGGAAGGGAGGAAGGGAGGAGGCGGAGGAGGAAGAGGAGGAGGAGGAAGAGGACGAGGAGGACGAGGAGGAGGACGAGGAGGATGATGACGAGGAGGAGGAGGACGAGGAGGAGGAGCAGGAGGAGGAGGAGGGCCTCCCAAGCGGGGTCCGAGCGGGTGGGTGCGGAGGAGCGCGCCAGGCATCGCCGATGCCTTGCCGATGCGGCTCGACGCGGAGCCCGCTGTTCTCCACGCCGAGGCATCGCCGAGGCATCGCCGATGCGTCGCAGGTGCGTCGGCGAGGCTGCCCGATGCTTCGACCGACCCCGCCTGCTCGGAGCCCCTCTTTGGGAGGCCTCCGGGAGGTCATCGCCTGCCTTCCGATGACGCCGCCGGAGGGGGGCGGCCCCTCGGGCCTCAGGGCCGCCCCCCCTCGGGCGGCAGCCCCGAGCGATCGGGATGCCTAGGCCGGTGCGTCGGGGTGCCCGGGCGGGCGGGGTGCCCCCGCGCCTTCGGATGGATCGGGGCGACTGGATGAGGATCAGCACTCGGCGGCGCCGAGAGTTCGCCTGCGGGCTCGGCGACTTTCGCCAGCCGATGCGTGGGGATCGAGCCAGATGAAGCAAGGCTGATTCAGACAAGGCGAGGGACACCAGGGTAAACCCAGGTAGTTCCAAGCGAATCCAGAGAGATATCCGGGGAAGTCTGGAGCAGCTTTTTGCGGCTCCAGCGCGGCTCGAAGGACGGCAGAAGTCGCTCAAGCCCTTGACAATGTGTGTGTGTGGACCCCCATTGCACCTTTGCAAGCACGTCCATTTCGGCACCGCCTGATCCCGAGGGTTTGCCTCCTCCCGGCCTCGCCATGAGGCTGCGCTCCTTCCCTCCTCCCCCTCTTTGTTAATTCAAGCTTCGCGCGGCCCGCTTAGCTTCGACAGGAAGAGGTGCGCTCTCGACCCGCGAATCAAAAAAGTGTGTATGGACCCCCCTTGCAACACGCCCGCTCCCCCACCCGTGCCGCGGGCCACGATGCGCCCCTTCCCCCCTCCCCCGTCTCGTCCCTTGGCATCGCTCGGACGTGTGCATTCTTCCTTCGGCGAGGACCATCGAGGAGCATCCTCGATCATTTGGCAAACAAAAAAAACGCACGAAACCAGAAAAACACAGGGAATGGACGTCCGAGCGATGGCGAGGTCCACGATGCGCCCCCCGCCCCCCCCCGCACCTGGAGGACTGGGCGGTGGAGCAGCCCGGGGTCGAGCGAGGGTCGAGAGTCGAGGTTTGGCGACGTGCTCTGGCCCTCTGCGAGCCTCCCTCGGGCCCGAGAGGGCCGTTGTTCTGTATATATATATATATATATATGTTGTGTGTGTTTTGTTGTTTCTCTGAGGCCGCACCCAACCTCAGCAAGCACGCAGTTCTCCTATGCCTTTCAAGGTTTCGGACCTTCTGCGGGCCTCCTGGGAAATCTGGGGGTGGGGGGATGGATCCGACACCTATTGAGGCATGCTTCTGGATCTTGACTGACAGCGACGCCCTAGGACCGACTTCAAAGCCGCGAAATTCGGACCTCCCGTCCGCCCTGAACTTCCAGGGTATCGAAATCCTAAACCATGCCATTGTTTAGGATTTCTCACTCCTGAAATCGTAACAAGCGAGCTGCTTGTCCAACAAGGCTTTCTCCGAATCCAGAGACTTGAACCTCCGAACAGTTGAGGTGGCAGGATGAGTCGGGAGAGGAGGGGAGGACGACGACACCACAGGAGGGACAAGACCAAGAGGAGAGTGAGAGAGAAGGAGATCCGGCAGGTTCGCGTCGTGCCGACCGGCGGCGACCCCACCGCGTGCCTTTGAGGTTGAACGCCGCCCGTTGCCCAGAATCGGCCCGTCGTTGCACGATCCGGCGTTCCCGGAACGGCCGATCGTTCGAGGCTGAGCGATCCCCGCGGTGTCAGGAACCAGCGCTGGGGTCGACGCGGCGCGGTCCTGCCGTAGCCGTGGCCTGACGGGCTGCGGCTGGGCGGGCCCCAGTCGCCCCCGAGAGGGTTCCACTGGCAAGAGAGGAGGACTTGGCATCGCTCGGACGTGTGCATTTTTCCTCCGGCGAGGACCATCGAGGAGCATCCTTGATCATTTGACGAAAAAGCCACTCACGAAACCGAAAAAAACACAGGGAACGAACGTCCGAGCGATGGCCAGAGGATGCCGTGGGCACAGCTCGGAGCCAAGGGTGCCGCCGTTCTCGCTGATGCCCTCAAACCTCTCGAGGGTGCCATAGCAAATGCTGTGATCGCATATGTAATGAGTCGAAATCACCTGACCATCCTTCTTCTCCTCCTCCTCTTCCTCCTCCTCTCCTCCTCTCCTCCTCCTCTCCTCCTCTCCTCCTTCTCCTCCTCCTCCTCCTCCTCCTCCTCTTCCTCCTCCTCCTCTCCTCCTCTCCTCCTCCTCTCCTCCTCCTTTCCTCCTACTCTCCTCCTCCTCCTGCTCCTCCTCCTTCTACGCTCCCGCATGTCAGCAGGTGGCATCGCATCACAACTCATACTGAGCGTAGTTCCCACATTACTCATATCGTCACTTGGTCGGCCATGTCGTGACTCGTGGAACCAGCGCGGCCACCACTGTCAAGGTCAGTGTCGGCATCTCACAGTTCTACTCGACCAACGTCTTTGCACTCGTGACTTCCACACTCTGGCCCGCCTCCGCGCACCCCTCTGTCAGCCCCAGGAGCCAAGCCAGAGACATCGTGCCCATTTCCATTTTGAGAATCTCGTCGTCCTTGCCTCGAGCTCTCAGGCCCTTCGCCGCCTCCATCCACGCCTTCACGCGGCCTCTGGCCTTCTGCATGGGAGCAGTAGTTAGTCTCTGGCATCAAGAGCGCCACTGAAGTGATAGCCTCTTGCAGTCTGGTGTGCATCGTGGCGTTCATCATCATCCTCAGGGGTGCGGGAACGTCTGGTTTGTGATCTCGCCAGCTCTGGCTCCTCTAGCTGCTAGCTCCTCGGTCGCCTCTGGGCCTACGGTGCGGCTTCTCGCCTTCTCCTGGGCGGCCTCCTTGGACCGCCCTCGCTCGTCTCCCTGCGGGCGGCGCCTCGCAGCGGGACTGCTGCTCGATCTCGGGCGCGGCAGGCGGTCGAGCGCTGCAGCCACATGCCAGACAAGCTCTGGGAACGGACCGGGAAGATGGGTCAAGTGGACCTGCAGGGCCTCGAAGGACGGAGAAGGCTGCATACGCGGGTCACGGGCGCGCCTCGGGAGCCTCGTCCTGGGGATTGAGCTTGCCGTCCTCCTCCTTTCAGGAGGGGGAAAAACACACAGACACAATGAATCGTCGATTCCCCAGAAAATATTGGAAAATATGGGAAGTGGGGGGGAAGACAACAACCCAGAAACTATAGGAGAATATGGGAAATCCTTTTATTTGTGTGTATTGATTAGTGTGTCCCAGGGCCCCTTCATCCTTGCCGTCCTTACACCGTCGCTGATCATTTCCAAGTCCGCCTCCCCCTTCTCCACATCAGAGCCAGACGGTAAACCATCAAGATCATGACTAGACGCACTTGAAATCAATCTCTACAGCTCTGATGCCACCTCTGCTGGACGGCATCGCCAGGTCCTCCACACTCATTCCTCCAGATTAGGTGTGTATGCAGAGATCCTGATCAAACCTCCTCCTCCTCCTCCTCCTCCTCGGCCCCACTCCAGCTCCCGCCATCAAGCGGCAGATGCGGGACTCTTCTGACGCAAGACCCTTGGATAGTGCGGCTTCGAGTTCTTCAGCAAACCGTGAGTCCCTCATCTCCCACAGCCTCCTCCTCCTCCTCTTCCTCCTCATATCTTTAACAATACGTGTGCTACGTGCAAGCGCCATAGGAAACTCAACAGTACCAGTCTGCTGTTCCCGCGACAGTTGTTTATACTTCGTTGGTGAGGCCGTCGGGTTGGCCTCGACGTGTCGGAGCCCGATCTCCTGGACAAGCTCGACAACCTCTTTTCAAGCTCCCTCAAGACAGTTAGACTGCACGAGCTCCTCGACCGTACCCAGACCGTGTCTTCCAAGCGGGTCCTGAATGCTTACCTCGACGCCGGATCGAAATACCTCAGCATGGTGCTCACCACAAAGGCCCTATCCGAGCCCGGTAGAGCCCCAACGCCGATGAGGGGGCTTCTGGCGGTAGGTAGCAAGGGCTGACGTCGAACTGAAACACGAACGGGGCATGATCACGAGGCCGCCTATCTGGGATCCCCTGGTGCTTCTTTGCCGATCTCATCGCCTGCGTGAAACGGTGTACCTTGCCTAGACAAGCTGCAGGCACCAGCACATGGTCATTGTGTGATGCGTGCTGCACCTTAGTGCCCCCACGCGGTCCGCACGACAGAGTGGGGTCCACGAGCTTATTCTCTGCCGGCACCGCACCAACGTAGCTGGGCCACATCGTAAGAAGGTGTTGGCGAATACCATCGAATGTGCTTCCGCGAACTCTCTCATCAGCGCACCAGCTTTGTTTTGACCGATCAGCCGAACTCGCCAATCGCACCCGACTCGAGATCATCTATACCGTGCGGGCGTTTCACCTGACCATTTCCACCATTAAGATTCATCGCTGCACTGGGCACTGTACGACATGATAGATTGGCAACAACGTGCTGTTCGAAATCAGCAGTCTTGCTTACCGTCATTATGATTATCGTCTGTTTCCTCGGGTCCTTACTCCTAGGCGGGTAGTATAGCGCCACACGAGTCACTTGACCATAGTACGACGTCACCCTGATGCAAGCATACCTTCCCATCATTCCATTTCTTGCACGAGCAGCTTGCTTTTACATATAGAACGAAACTCCAGAAACACTCGTTGTACAGGCACACGTGTGGTGATATCCACAGTGCACAGATTTGAGGTTTGGGAGATCTTCCATTGCGTAAGCAATATGTAATGCACGTCTCTGGGTCCCCATCAGAAAGATAATATCGACGTTTGCAAACTCGATATGTATAGCATGTTCTCGGTCATTATCGGCAGTAGAAATATGTTCCCAGCATGCAATTCTCATCGACAGACAGACAGACCAGGTTCAGACAAGCACAGACGCTCAAGTTCTCAACAGGAATCATTTCCGAAGGAAGATCAGGTTCAGACTGGCACCTGTCGCACAACACAGCAGCAGGAATGATATTCTCTGCAACAGCAGCAGACACCTTTCAAGGTCACGATTTAAGCTTCGAAAACAAATAACGGCACACAGACCCACATCCCACGTCTCGAACCTGAAGCCAGCCTGGGGGTCCCCGGCGATCCCACCTGCGCACACGTGGCCGCACCAGACGTCTCAGCAGATCACGCCAGTGACCTGTAGCAGCTGCGCCCGGAGCAGTCGTGGACGCCTCCGCAGCGGGCGGCGGGCGGCTTTTCAATCCCTGGACTTTTTTGAGGATCGGGGACGACGTCGGGGTGGTGTGGTGTATACTTTTTCCCCGTTTCCCCAGGGAAACAACGAACATGTATACACCAGGCTCCCGTATACACCAGAATCCGCGCTCCTGTGCGAACTTCAGCGCAGGGTCGGAAAAAGCGTCGGTGTGTAGAGTTCGTTTCCCTACGGCTGCGGGCAATTCGCTCAACGTCCTTCGCGACGGTTGACGCTCACGCGCGAGCGGCAACGAGAGCAACAGCCGGTAAGAGCGAGAAGCTTCGGCATGGCGGCATGGCAGGAGGCCCGCCTCGTGGCCGGCGCAGAGGGGGGGGTGGGGCCGGCGCGCTTGCATGGCCGAGCAGCCACGGCGTGCTCGACACCTGGGCCGCGTGGCTGGAGGCGGGGGGAGGAGGGGAGGAGGAGAGGAGAGGGAGAGGCGGAGGAGGAGGAGGAGGATGAGGAGGAGGAGGGAGGAAGGGAGGAGAGAGGAGGAGGAGGAGGAGGATGAGGAGAGGAGGACGAGGAGGGAGGAAGGAGGAGGAGGAGGAGGAGGGAGTGGGAGGAGACTGTTTTTGTTGTTGGGGTCCGGCGATAACCCGGCATATCGGGCTTGCCCTCCTCCCCCCCCCAGGATGATCTAACCTAGCCGGTTGTGCAGGTCCGGGTTGGGGGGGGGCGCGGGCATATGCAGGGTTGCCCACAGCGCGAAGGTTAGGTTATCGGCCGGCCCCCTCCTCCTCCCCCCCCCGGACAACCCGGGCTAACGCCGATTAAAAAAACTGCCTCAAGAAGAGGAGGAGAGGAGGAGGAAGAGGAGGAGGAGGAGGAGGAGAGGAGGAGGAGGAGGAGGAGGAGGTAGGAGTAGGAGGCAGGAGCAGCAGGGAGGAGGACGGGAGGGGGAGGAGGAGTGGCATGACACGGAACAGCAGGATGAGGAGGGGGGCAAGGAAAGGGCAGGAGGGCGAGGAGTTGCTGAGGCCTGGAGTACTTCGCGAAGTACTACCGCACCACGGTGCGCGAGGCCCGCTCGCGGCGGCGCGGGGCCGAGCCGCGGGGGGGAGGGCGCCATCTCCAGCAAGGGGAGACGAAGAGGTTCAGGGGGAAAATCAAGGGCGCCCTTGAGGGCGCGAAGTTATTCCCGCTTCGCGCTTCGCTCAGCGCGAAGCGCGAAGTTGGGAGCCCTTGGAAAAACAGATACACAGACAATGAATCGTCCATTCCCCAGAAAAGATGGGAAAATATAGGAAGTGGGGGGGGGGAAGACAGAAGCCCAGAACAGCTATGGGAAAATGTGGGGGATCCTGTTATTTGTGTGTATTTGTTAGTGTGTCCCAGGGCCCCTTCGAAGGTCGCAGGCGATGTTTCCATCCCACCCCCCGACCTCCGAGGAAAAATGAAGCGGCTGAGCAAAGGGAGGGAAACCTTGGGATTCACCCCCTAAGGGGGCTATTCGAACGCACCCCTATCGAGGATGGGTGCCCCCCTCGTATATCCCAGGGTTGGGCCCCAAGTTTCTGGTCCATCTACTCCGACCCCATCTAGGAGAGGCCTATCGATGTAACTTATTCGGGGCGGGCCGTTCGAAAAGCCCACGAAGCCTGGGATAGGGATCGACATATCCCCTGCTAAACGAGGCAGGGAGAGCGACAGGGACGGAGGAAGGGAGACCGTGGGGAGACGGGGAGAAGGTGCTAAGGTGGAGAGAGGGATGGGGGGGGGGCAAGCTAGGTGCGCTGGCGTCACACCTGACGTCCTACCCCTCCCTCCCATCCCCTAGCATGGCGTAGATCTCGTTTTTATTCGCACAGTCGGATGTCGAGCAGGGCTATGATCCCAGGAGGGACCGCGATGGATGGAAACGCATGGCGTAGAAGAGCACGACAGAGCATACCATGTCATAGCATGGCGTGGCTTCTCGTAGTGAGCATGGCATCACAAAACGTGGCAACGCAAATCATGCCACCTCACAGCGGTGCACAGCACAGCATCGCATTGCATGACGTGGCATGGCACTGGATGACTTGGAGGGTAAGTGGCCCGTCTACGAGAGGACAGGGCCTGTCCGAAATGCGGGCTCCATGTCCTCTGCAAGCGTGCCTTCCCGATGTGGGCGCTTTCGAATGCCAAGTGCCGTCCAGTAGGGCTACTGTAATGCAAGCCAGAATGAGGCAAGCGGGAGGCGGGTGCGCAGGAGCGAGGCCAGCGTTGCAGCCGGGCCGTAGGCGGAGCGCCATGCGGGGACGTGATCCAGAGGGAGCTCGTTTGGGGGAACGATCCGTATGAGGGGTGTTCCGCAATGTGCCGTGGGACGCCATGCGTACTCTTGAGCCGTAGGTAGTGCTCCATCTGAGGCACATCCGTGCGAGGGGAGTTGCCGCATGGGAGACGGCAAGAAGGGGAGGAGTGAGGAGGCGGAGGAGGAGGAGGAGGAAGAGGAGGAGGAGGAGGAGGA